GGATGGTTGGTCGATATTTTGACTCCCATGGTTTTGATCAGTTTACGATCATTTGGCGACCCATTTTCTTCCGAAACGTGACGTAATGTACAAATGTCATTAACACTTTCGCTGCATAGTACTTTCAGATCCCCAACTAGCTATGTGACAGTGCGTCTCACTGGAAGGTCTTTCATGAGGTAGAATGCACCTTCTGATCTCCATGTTTTGAGTGGGTATGTTTTTGAGAAATATCACTGCGATGTCGAAAGAATGTTCTCCGGGTCGGTAGTTAGGGTGAACGACGAATCTTCTGACTTTGGAGAGTTCGCGGTGCGATTCTTGCTCGTTTTTAAGATTGTAAGCTCCAAACAGCACGTCAATTTCGTCGAGCATCGTATAATTAATTTTGCTATGAACAAACACGATTAAATTATGTTTTATGCAGTTTATTAAATTGGATGTGATAATGTGTGAAAACGTATGTGTGGAATCGGTCGTCTAACAAACAATGATAAGGAGAGATGACAGGCTTCTTTATGTAAATGATGTAATAGCTTACACAGACAGACTCTGACTATCAAGTAGAACGGCATGATTGATACAAATGGTCCTTATTAATTTTTAACGGAGGCATTTTTACATAATCCTTTACCTGGCCGCTTGTCATTTAACCGGAAGACCATGACTTATCGACCCTGCTTGAAAGATGACAGTAGGGAACGGAAGAAAATTGATGCTCTTACATGTTGTTCCGACGATCGAGAGATGATAAATCTGGGTAAATAGTGTTAGCTGGATCTGGATTTGTGTTTTAGTTCTTTTATTCCTCTGAACTGAGATTCCTGTTTTCGGTCGCATTACGATATTGACAACGAGCTTGCTCAGTCGTTAGACTACGACCCAGAACCGAGAGGACCTGGAGTCGAGAAGCGTTTAAGTGAATCGCCTATCTTCCTTCCGAGTTTGATAGATGAGCAGAACTCCGTGAGGAGAAAGGATGCGCATATGAGCTACGTCTGCCATATGGATAGGTGGAATCTGTCTTAATATTACGTTGACATAAATAAAGACTGAAACCTGAGTAATCATTAGCTTGACGTAAATTATCTGCATCGCTGCGAAGTACAGTGCAATACCAACCTCAGCAAGGCGCTAGCCAATGTGACGACGGCAAATTTTTCGTCCACCTGAATGAATACACCGACTACACTGTGGTCAGAAACTTCCATGTACACCAAACAACCGATATCCCTCCTTCTGGAAATCGATCCATTGATCATGCGAAAAGCGGTTTCTGGATTGTCGTTAGCGACATTCGATGTAACAGCATTCTGTAAAGATTTGCAAGAATAACAACTGTTATGTAACTGATATATTCCACTACTGCCAACCACCATACCATCGCAAAGGATGAAACGTAGAAGATTGCAAGCAGAAATTGCCACCCGCGTAAAACCATTTTGACCCTGCAAATTTCGACACACTGCGAAGAGTCGAGAAATGGTAGTATTTATGGGGTATCGTTTGGCCACTTGCCATATTTTTAATTGATCATTATATGCTTGACAGGTGTTAGTGTTCTTGTGTGGTGAGCGTGACGTAACTGAGGCGAAACTCTAGTGATGAAAGACTTGATTCGTACTCGTTTGACGCAGGTTGTTGCTTAACGCTTCACGAAATCGTCTGGCTGCCTTGTTGTCTTAGCATGATCGTATGAGGGTAGAATAGCACTGTCCTTTGAGTTCAGTGCTAGCCGCGCCGCCCTGTTTAAATCCTATCTTCGTTCGTGGGTTCAGCTGCCCCCGGAAGGCGCCGTTGCGTGCGTGTTGCGACCAACGCTGCTCTCTGACGTATGCTTCGTAACGTTGCACTTCCTTGAACATGGACATAGTCTAGACAGTAGCTGGGGAGTGTGGAAGCAATGCACAACGGTATGACATCGGCCTGAAACTTCGCAGGTACCTGGTTCGAGTTCGATAATGTGGCGGCTTAACCGCTTATTCCATTTAGAATTGGATTCACCTGACTTTGCTTCGAGTTTCTCATGCAACCAGCCGAGAAATGGGTGATAAATTATTGACTCCGTTCAACAGCGACAGAATGGTGTTCTGATGTGCTCCTATGAGAATGGGCGAGACCTACGGCAATCCAGTCCGATGGCATTGTCTCTTACAGCTGCAATTCGTCTTGAACAGTCAAATAACTGACCGTCCAATGTGACATTCAGCGAAAAGTACAAATTGTGTTGTTTCGTAAAAAAGTACATCAGGCTAAAACAAAAGACTTGAGAAATAATTTAAACAGTGTTGCGTTGCAACATGTAACCAATAGTCTCATTACAGTGAGAATGCCCAAGAATAACCTTCCGTCCTATTAAGGATCTGTTGGAAAAGATTCAAAGTCCTCAACCCACTTTTTGAATACATTTAGTTTACATCGATATTTGTATTTGATGATTTTCGACCTCAATGGAAATCGTTGTATTTGGGTAGCCGTCTTCGTAAAATTGATTGATATGGCGACATGGTTTGCCTACCTCAATAGCCCCGAAGGTATTGCAGCATCGAAGCTTGCCCTTTGAATGCCCAACATTGGAAATTAACTCAGTAATAGATACAACACAACCTGCATTTCGCACGTCACTTTATAGTGAGGAAAGGCGGCATATCCGCATTGTTACCGGCTGATGAGGGATGGGCTCGAGTCTTAGGCATCGGAATTGAAAAACAATCATCAACAGCCATTGTAGATCCATTTTTGGATTAAGGCCTGTCCAAGACTGTACCATACACTTCCGCTACCCGTGATTTTTACAAGTCTTTATCTAGCGCACTTCAGATTAACCTGCCATCAAGGTGCAACTCTTCATGCGGACCTTACGTAGTGCTCTCTCTAGGAACTTAGCTCGATGTTTTTTGATCCAGTGATGGTAGGTCAGTCCTGCAAGGTGTGCTGCCCATTGTCAGTATGTCTGTCTACTGCTTGCGCTTTTACTGGTTCAGTCGTCTTCCTGTGAATGAATTTCCAACCCGCGCCTTTCCATGATGCTCTGCGTGTACGCAGTTGATAAACAGCCTTGAGGCTTAAGATCCGTGATTCACATTCATGAATTAGCATAGCACTGGAAGCATACGTTGACGGAAAATTTTCTTTCTTAAACACAATGGCAGTTGCCCGCACAAAGGCATTTTCATTCTTCGAAAAGTGCTACATGCCAATTTTAATGTTCTGTTGATTTCTCGTCGTCAGTTCTCAATTGCAGAAATGAACTGCCCCATATTGACATAATTCTGTACCTTCTCAAGCCAATGTTCATTGAATTCAACAGCTGTTGCGGCCACGTATTAATTGACCATGACCTGAATCTTTTTCAGTTGCGTTTCAGTTTCACTTCGAAACTGTACTGCAGCGAAATTTTACTGCTCGTACCTTGCAGCTAGCCGGGTTGCTACATAACCCTACTACAAGTGAAAACCAGGTCTATTCTGACTAGCTTAACTTTTCCATTAAACTGCTAATGATAAGGTATCACTTTGTTCTTGTACATCGATACTGTAGTTCGTTCGTTCGTTGGTTGTCAAACTAAACAGTAAAGTAAAACGAATTACTAATACATAATTGACCAGTCCGATGACTGAACAATACCGATGGTTATGCCCCTGTCTCCTGCGCTTTCTTCTAACAATGTTCAACGTGAAGGTGTCGCTAGTGCCTTCGGGCTCAGAAACCAGAAACCATCGACTGCTGCGGACGACCATCCACA